CCTTTGCTTCGTAGGCCGCAGCCTGGAATTCAGTGAGCTGGCCTCCATGTTGGGAAGGCAGCTCAGGATAGCAGACATGTTGGTATAGGCAGAGAGGCAAGGGGAGGAGTCAGTTAACTCCTGATTGGTTCAAACCCCAAGGGGAGGAGTTGAAGGAGAGTGAAAAGGAAGCTGTCAGTTCTGACAGAGAGAGAGAGAGAGAAGGATTTGATCTGAGGGAGAGAAGGATTTGATCTAGGAGAGAAGGATTAGGATTTCAGACAGGAAGAAGAGAGTTTCTTAGTGAGCTAGGAATTAGACTGTTAGGGAATAATAAAGAGCAAGGGCTTCTGTGTAGTTTGACTAGGGCAAAGTGAAAGCTTGTTTACTTGTATTAGGACAGAATACAAGTAGGTTTATTTCCCTAAAGTTCAGAGTAGTCCAGGGGAACTTAGATACTCTGGAGGGCAGCCAGGGCGGCTGGTCCAAGAAACGCACTGTTATATGTTACAGGATAATGTGAGGAAAGTAGCTCACGTTAAGGAAAAGTTACTCCTTCTAAAGAAACCATTTGCTTAATAAGTCTGTGCTTCAGAAACAAACTACGCATTGTACCTCTCAGTAATGAGTTGTCTGCTTCAAATATTTCAATAAACCTGTTCTCTAGTTTACTGTTAATCTGCCTCAGCCTTGTTTCTTAATATAAGGTTAGATATAGTAAGCCTCCACATCTCTACAGTTCAGTCACCAGAAAGGGAGTCAAAAGGAAGAGCCGGTGTATAGGGACATTTTACCTCAAGTACAACGACAAGACAATTCCTCAAACTGTAATTTGGGGTGGTGGCAGCAAACCTACCATTACATACACAGCGTTCTCCCTCATCACCCTTAACACCCTCGTATATTCTTTTACAAGGGGCTATATTGTAACAGGAGTTTTTGCTCAGGAGAAATATGCCTTTCTTAATTTATAGTACAGGCACTCCCCAAGTTACGAAAAACATTGTGCAGGTTTGTTTTTAAGTTGAATTTGTTTGTAAGTTGGAACAAGTACATTTTAAAGTGTAACTCCATATATATATAGATGATAGATGATAGATATATAGATAGATAGATAGACAGACTGACAGACAGACAGATTGATCGAAGCTTTGGATAGCATAGGAAAGTAACTCAGTGACTGACTGTACTGTCAAGTTTAGTGTCAACACAGGCACTGTAAACTACATGTTGGAAAGTAGTGATGAATTATATAAAGAATTCATGTATCCATTGCAGGATTTCCTGCTTAAAACTTTGGCACATCCATTTATTTGCTTTATAAGTTTTGGCACTCTCTGAGCACTATATGTGTGCATTCTATATTTCATATATATCTGTCTCTTTCTTTCTTAAACAGCAGGAGGTTTACCTTGAGCCAATCAAACCTGCCAAAACATAGTATAATTTCACACATAACACTCCCTTGCTTCTCTTCGGCAAATTAATTTCATCCAAGTTGCCATTCTTCAATAACAAAAATATGCCAGGATTTGTTGGCAAAGCAATAAAAGAAAGATTTTTTTCTGACAGTCAATGCAATTTCTCAAAAACAGACCCATTACATTACAAACATATTTCCAACGGCTCCTCTGAGGATGACCTTTTTGTTTTTCTGTCATTTAATACAGTAAGACTCTGGGGCCCCTTCTACACTTCCATATCCTAGATTATCAAAGCAGATAATCTTAATTTATATGGCAGTGTAGAAGGGGCCTAAGAGATAGTCCAATGATTTTCTCAGCCCGGTTGCAAGTGTAGATGCAATCATAGTGAATACTATATTTTGATTATACTTGGATCAGGTGTATTCCAAAGAATCACACAGCCCCCAATAGCACAATGGGTTAAACCCTTGTGCTGGCAGGACTGCTGACCAACAGGTCAGTGGTTCGAATCCAGGGAGAGTGGGTTGAGCTCCCTCTGTCAGCTCCAGCTCCCCATGTGGGGACATGAGTGAACAAGGATGGTAAAACATCAAACATCCAGGCATCCCCTGGGCAACGTGCTTGCAGACGGCCAATTCTCTCACACCAGAAGCTACTTGTAGTTTCTCAAGTAGCCTCTGACATGGAAAAAAAACCACAGGCAGATCCAGAGAAAGCCACAAATACTTCCTACAGGAAATACTTTTAATGCATGGGTAAATGAAATTATGGACATCAAATCTGTGGATAAAGGGAGCAAACCTGTGTTTAATTCAGGCATATAGTCAGTCCAAACATGCATTTCCAAATGATTATTATGTTTATTTATACCCTGCTTCTTTCTCCACAAGGAATGGCATTGGGGAAGGGGTAGAGTTATTTCTTTACCAGCTAAATCCATATGGGGCTAGAATGCCCTTTTGTACATAGATGTGTAAATAACCGGATTCCCTGAACATTTATTGCACAATAAAATATGTAGTTTATTTATTATAATGTGCATGAAGAATGTGGGGTTTACTAGTCATAATTCAATATAAAAGAAACAATAAGAGATGTAGGGCAAGGGTGAAAACTACACTACTCCCCTGCCACCAAAAATGTAGGCAGCATCTACACTTGCAGTTTAATATCACCTTAACTGCCATGGCTCAATGCTATGGAAACATAGGAGCTGTAGTTTTATAAAGCAATTTGCCATCTTTTACAAAGTCCTTCTGCCTCATCAAACTAAAATTCACATGACGCCATAGCATTGAGCCATGCCAGTTAAAGCCATGCCAAGGGGCCACCACTGAGAAGGCCTGTCTCTTGTCCCTACCAACCGCACCTGTGAAGGAGGTGAGACCGAGAGCAGGACCTCCCCAGAAGATCTTAACCACTGAGTTTTATAGGCTAAAGCCAGCACTTTGAATTGTGGTCGGTAGCAGAGTGGCAGCCAAAAGAGCTAGCATAACAGGGGGTTTGTGTGCTCCCTCTACACTGCTCTGGTGAACAATCTGGCTGCCACCCATTGGACCACTTGAAGCTTTGGAACAGTCTTCAAAGGCAGCCCCAAGTAGAGTGTGTTGCGGTAGTCTATTTGAGATGTAACAGGAGTGTGGACCTCTATGGCCAAGTCTAGCTTTTCTTAATGCCAATTAAGACACCATTTGAACTACCATGGCCACTGCTGTGGAATCATGGGAGTTGTAGTTTGGTGAGGCACCAGCGCACTCCAGCAGAGAAGACAAAGGACCTTGTCAAGTTACAACTCACATGATTCCATATCACTGAGACATGGCAGTTCAAGGGGTGTCTAACTGCCTTCATTCTTCAGTGTACATGCATCTTAGATCATGGTATTCAGTGCAGAAGACCATGGGCACATACACACTGCAGAATTACACTGCCATGGTTTATTGTTATGGAGTTCTGAGAATTTTAAATCTACATGGTCTTTAGATTTCTCTGCCAAATTAAAAAGATAGGGCCTTCTCAGTGGTGACCCCTCGGCTTTGGAATTTCCTTCCCAGTGAAATTAGATCAGCTCTCTCCCTCCTGAAAGAAATTAAAAACATGGCTGTGGGACCAAACCTTTGGACAGTAATGCAGTACAGTAAGTGGAGATGGAATATGTGTGATTATGGCTGGAACGGCACCTTGACTATGATTTTAGATGGTATAGTTTTAAAAGAATTGGTTTTTAATGTTTAGTTATTTTTAATTTTAAGCTTTTAACGTATAGGTAAAGGTAAAGATTTTCCCCTGACATTAAGTCCAGTCGTGTCCGACTCTGGGGGTGGTGCTCATCTCCATTTCTAAGCCAAAGAGATGGTGTTCTCCGTAGAAACCTCCAAGGTCATGTGGCCAGCATGACTGTATAAAGCGCTGTTACCTTTCAGCTGGAGAGATACATATTTATCTATTCACATTTGCATGTTTTTGAACTGCTAGGTTGGCAGAAGCTGGGGTTAACAGTGGGAGATCACCCCACTTCCTGGATTTGCTCCTGCAACCTTTCAGTCAGCAAATTCAGCAGCTCAGCACTTTAACCCACTGCACCGTTGGGGGCTGAGTGGGTTAAAGTATATGTTTTTTTTAAATGGCTTTTAATGTATATGCGCAGTGGGTTAAACCACTGAGCTGCTGAGCTTGTTGACCAAAAGGTTGCAGGTTTGAATCCGGGTGGCGGCGTGAGCTTCTGCTGTCAGCCTCAGCTTCTGCCAACCTAGCAGTTCAAAAACATGCAAATGTGAGTAGATCAATAGGTACTTTTTTTGTCATGTCAGGAGCGACCGCTCCTGTTGGGAGAGAATTGGCCGTCTGCAAGGACGTTGCCCAGGGGACACCCAGATAATTTGATGTTTTATCATCCTTGTGGGAGGCTTCTCTCAAGTCTCCGCATGAGGAGCTGGAGCTGATAGAGGGAGCTCATCCGCCTCTCCCCGGATTCGAACCTGCGACCTGTCGGTCTTCAGTCCTGTCGGCACGGGGCTTTAACCCACTGCGCCACTAGGTACTGCTGTGGCAGGAAGATAACGGCACTCCATGCAGTCAGGGTGAGCTCCCACTGTTAGGCCCAGCTTCTGCCAGTGTAGTATTTGAAAACATGCAAATGTGAGTAGATCAATAGGTACAGCCTTAGCAAGGAAGTTATTGGCACTCCGTGCAGTCATGCCAGCCACATGACCTTGGAGGTGTCTACGGACAACGCTGGCTCTTCGGCTTAGAAATGGAGATGAGCACCAACCCCCAGAGTCGGACACAACTGGATTTAATGCCAGGGGACAACCTTTACCTTATTTTATTGCAAGTCTGTTTTATGTGTCGTTGCCTATTGGAAGGCAGCTCTGAGTTCCCTTGGGGGTGAGAAGGGTGGGGAATACATACAGCAAATAAAGRCATCAGCAAAAAGACCAGCAACTGCTCGTAAATTGGAGGCGACTTCTAATTCAGGGCAACACTTCAGGCTTTCCTTTTCTTCCCATTCGTTGCTGAGAGGGTGTAAAACAAACAAAAAAGGGGGGGCGGGGGGGAGGAGAAGTGCATCCTGCAGCCAAGTCTGGAGAGCAAGCTAAAGTTTGCTAAAGGTTGCTCAAGGAAAGCCTTCTTTTCGCATCTCTGCTGCTGGTCCAAGAGAGGCTTAAGAAAGGAAGCCCACAGCCTCAGGCAAGGAGCCAGCTGTGAGTGTGCATGAGAGAGGGGAGGAGGGAGAAAAAGAGAGGGAGAAGCCCTTGCAGAGGTGAGTGGATGGAAGTTTGTGAGAAAGCACACCCACACACCAAAACACGCCYRYRGGCGTGTTTTGGTGTGTGGGTGTGCTTTCTCACAAACTTCCATCCACTCACCTCTGCAAGGGCTTGTCTCTCCCCCCCCCCTTTTTTTTTCACATAAGCATCAATTCCTCACGATTTTTTCCTCCTTTCCCCCCAGTGTTATGCGTGGTTTCTCTTGTGCAGAAAATGGATCCAGTGCAAACACAGCTGGAAGGACTTTGAKAAAGAAAGACCAGGTATGGCTCTCCCTTGGGCATCCTTTCCTTGGCTGTGCAGGGCTTCCTTCCTCCCTTTTCTTTTCTCAGTGGGTGTTCAAGGCTTTCTTTCCTTTCTTTCTTGAAAAAGGGAGTCTGTTCTATTTGCCTTTGAAGCTTTTAACTATTGTTTAACCATTTTGAAGCTTTTAACTATTGTTTTTAACCTGGGAAGGAATAGAAAGAAATCTGCAAAAATGGCCATGTTGCCTTTGACAGGCTGGATCCCTTCATGGTGGGTTTAGACTCCAGTTTCCATTGTCCTCAGCCAGTGCTGCCTGGGAATGATGGGAATTATTGTTGCACCCATGGATGGGATATCCAGATGGGAATAAGTCTCTACCCTATGAAGTGGATCCTAAACCACTATAATTTATGTCATGTTAGTTTTAAAAGTGCCACAGGAGTCTTTCTTGTTTTTTTTATAAGAGATTCAGAGGTTTATTGTCGATGGCCTTCATGGCAGGTATTACTGGGTTGTTGTGAGTTTTCTGTGCTGTATGGCCATGTTCCAGAAGCATTCTCTCCTGATGTTTCGCCTGTATCTATGGCAGGCATCCTCAGAGGTTGTGAGGTCAGACCTCTGAGGATGCCTGCCACAGATGCTGGCAAAACATCAGGAGAGAATGCTTCTGGAACATGGCCATACAGCCCAGAAAACTTGCAACAACCCAGATTCAGAGGTTATTTCTGGGATGAAATAGTGAAATTATTTGCTGAAGATTATTTGCTGGCATTAGTGTTAGAAACATTACAGTTGACTCTTCATATCAACAGGATTCTGAAGCCACGGACTAAAGTATCCACAGCCTGAAAATATTTTGAAACAAAATCCCAAAAGCAAACTTTGTTTTTTGCCATTTAATATAAGGGACATGCTTTTACTGTACCATTTTATATAATGAGAAGCCCCTAGTGATGCAGTGGGTTAAATCGCTGAGCTGCTGAACTTGCTGTTAAAAGGTTGGTGGTTCGAATCAAGGGAGTGGGGTGAGCTCCCACTGTTAGCCCCAGCTTCTTCCAACCTAGCAGTTTGAAAACATGTAAATGTGGGTAGATCAATAGGTACCGCTTCTGTGAGAAGGAAACAGTACTCCATGCAGTCATGCTCGCCATGTGACCTTGGAGGTGTCTATAAACTGTATGACCATGTTCCACAAGCATTCTCTCCTGACTTTTCACCACATCTATGGCAGGTATCTGCAGAGGTTATGAGGTAGTTGGAAATTAGACAAGTGAGGTTTATATATCTGTGGAATGTCTAGGGTGAGAAAAAGAACTCTTGTTTGTTTGAAGCAAGTACAAATGTTGCGATTGGCTGCCTTGATTAGCATCTAATGGCCTTGCAGCTTCAAAGCCTGGCTGGTTGCTACCTGGGGGTCCTTTGTTGGGAAGTGTTAGCTGACCCTGATTGATTATTGTCTGGAATTCCCTTGTTTTTTTAGTGCTGCTCTTTAAATATTTACCATTAAATGCTAATCAAGGTGGCCAATTGCAACATTCACATCTGCTTCAAACAGACAAGAGTGCTTTCTCCCATACTGGACATCCAACAGATAGATAAACGTCACTTGCCTAGTTTCCAACAGACCTCACAACCTCTGAGGATGCCTGCAATAGATGGGGGCAAAACATAGGAAAGAATACTTTTCAAGAATACTTTTCATACAGCCCAGAAAACTCACAGTAACCCAGATCCCCCCATAGTTTTCCTGCATGGCACAATGTTATCTGCTGGAGTTTGGTTCAAGGACTCCTATGGAAAGCAAAGACCATGGACGTTCAAATCCCATTAATGTATATATGATGGTGTAATAAAAATGGTGTCCCTGTTATAAAATGGCAACATTAAGGTTTGATTTTGGGATTTTAAAAAATGTCAAGCCATGGATGCAGAATTCATGAACATAAAAGACCAACTGTAATAATCATGTAAAAGTAAATAAGAAATTAGGCACCAAACAAAAGTTACTGTACTGTAGTAGAAGAAATCTGAAAGTTATGGGTCCAGATGATAGTATTTACATTCCTACTTTTCTCAAAAAAAGGTCATAGTGCCGTACAAAATTCCCTTTATCCTCATAACAAGCTTATGGGACAAAGTTAGGCTTAGCAATCATGACTGGATGAGATACCCAGTAGGTTTTTAGCATTGAACAGCAGTCAGGACTTGAATCTATTGCAATTCCAACCCAGAGCTTAATAAAAACAGCAAAATAAACATAAGTCCCTAGACAAGAAAGCCATATTTTAGGACTGAATTAATTCCAGCTTCAGACAGACTAATCTTAGGATAGAGCCAATTGTGAGAATGTATTTTGTAGTATCTGTCACTTCCTGCCTGCTCATTGCTCCTGGGGCTGGAGATGAGTGGCAATTTTGGTTTTTTGATTGCTGTGGCTTATAGGAATTCCCTCCCATGGTCAAGTGGGAAAAGGATAATTTTGCCAGTTCCAATATGGGTGTATTTTGGGTTCATATTGAGGAAACAGGAGACCTTTGAGATGCTATAGATCCAAGACCCCCCCCCCCCTTGATCTCTCTCACCCCCTGCTGCTCTCAGGCCACCAGTGGTGAAAGTGATATTTCACTTTTTGTTTATGGAGGTTATTGTTACCCCACATTGGTTTCCAATAGTAAATTTCTCCTGCTATTGGCAGTAAGGTGCCTCTCTTGAACCTTAAGCTGATCACTTTTATTTATTTTAAAACATGTATATGTCATTTCTTAGCCATCTTTTTGAGAATTACCAAAGCATTAACTTTTTTTTGTTCATGTCAGGAGTGACTTGAGAAACTGCAAGTCGCTTCTGGTGTGAGAGAATTGTCCATCTGCAAGGATGTTGCCCAGGGGATGCCCAGATGTTTTACCATCCTGTGGGAGGCTTCTCTCATGTCCCCGCATGAGAAGCTGGAGCTGACAGATGGGAGCTCACTCCACTCCCAAGACTCAAACCACTAACCTTTCAGTCAGCAGTCCTGCCAGCACAAGGGTTTAACCCATTGCGCCACTGGGGGCTCCAAATAGTAACTTATCCAAATGGTAAATGTTCTTTTGCCACATTGAACTCTACACCAATTAACTATTAAACCTATGGTGTTTTGACCTGACTACCTCTGAGGATGCTTGCCATAGATGCAGGCGAAACGTCAGGAGAGAATGCCTCTAGACCATGGCCATATAGCCCGAAAAAACCTATAACAACCCAGTGATTCCGGCCATGAAAGCCTTCGACAATACTATGGTGTTTTTCTACTCTGATCCTGGAGCATTACACAAAGCAGATGTCATAAGAAAAGTGTGACTTTGCAGTACCACCTTTAATAAAACAGGATAAAAGTATGATAAAGTCCAGCTATGAGGGCTGCCATTGCTTGTAGTCAGTCTTAGCCAGAATGCTTGATCATTTTAAAATTCCTTAATTTTTGAGGCCTAATTTACTTGGCAAGGAAGGGCTTGATGTGTACTTTGGCAAAAACAAGTCACAGGCAGATTTATGAATGCTCAGAATAATGAAACCATGCTTTACTTGTAACAAAAACTCAACAGTATTCATTTCATATTTTAATATATATCATCAGCATTTCTGCCACCACAGTCACTCAAAGAAAATGTGAAAAAATATTTTAAAGAAAAAATTATGACAGGTTTGGAGAGTTGTGTGGTTTCCATGCTGTTTTTTTAGCTGCTCAGTTTGAGTGGGGGTTTTGTTGTTTCTCTTTTAGAAAAGAGAGAGCTTTCATAGCTTTCCTGCAACACTTCTAAGAAGGAATCTGCTCCCCGAAAATGGTCTTCAGATCAAAGATAGCCATTTGTGACTTCACATCTTGACGTGATGTTGTCTTCTCTTCTGTTTTCTAGAGATTCATTTGCTCCCACTTGCTGAGAGAGTTGTTGGTTTAAGACTGCCACACAGGATGAAAAGGAAAGGGAAAAGCAACCCCTGCTTACTGCATTTTGTCTTTGCTTTTTGTATGGCTGCTTTGTCTGGGAGCAGTGCCTGCCCACAGCCTTGTGCTTGCTATGTACCTACTGAAGTACATTGCACATTCAGGTATCTCAGCAACATCCCACCGCATATCTCCCGAAATGTGGAACGTATCAACTTAGGGTATGTTGGCATGCTATTGCTCAAGTTGTGATGTATAGTAAACATGATGTGATTAACTTGTCTATTATAATTAAAATGTTATAAAAACACATAAGGGACATATAATGATCTATGAGGCCTTCTTTTTTGGAAAATGGCATTCATAACCTTTTGGGAAAACCAGGAATCTTTTGGAAAGGCATGAACGTTTTAGAAATTATAACCTTTTATAAAGTATGATGGAGCCCCCGGTGGGGCAGTGGGTTAAACCGCTGGGCTGCTAAACTTGTTAACCGAAAGGTCGCAGGTTCGAATCCGGGGAGCGCCGTGAACTTCCGCTGTCAGCCTCAGCTTCTGTCAGCCTAGCAGTTCGAAAACATGCAAATGTGAATAGATCAATAAGTACTTATCCGGCGGAAAGGTAATGGTGCTTCATGCAGTCATGTCAGCCACATGACCTTGGAGGTGTCTACAGACAACGCGGGCTCTTTGGCTTAGAAATGGAGATGAGCACCAACCCCCAGAGTCGAACACGACTAGACTTAATATCAGGGGGAAACCTTTACTTTTACCTATAAAGTATGATCTTTCTGAGAAGAGTTAAAAGCTCACTTGAGTCAACCATCTCCTTAGTGATTTGTTTTTGTCGTGTCAGGTGCGACTTGAGAAAAACTGCAAGTCGCTTCTGGAGTGAGAGAATTGGCCGTCTGCAAGGACATTGCCTAGGGGACACCCGGATGTTTTTTATCATCCTTGTGGGAGGCTTCTCTCATGTCCCTGCATGAGCAGCTGGAGCTGACAGAGGGAGCTCATCCACGCTCTCCCCGGATTTGAACCTGCGACCTGTCGTTCTTCGGTCCTGCCGGCACAGGGGTTTAACCCACTGCGCCACCGGGGGCTCCTCTCCTTAGTGATAAATATCCAATAGTAGTCATGAAAGGCAATTAGGTTTCTTAGCTATTAGGTTGATATACCTAGATATCTATTTGAACTGTTTGGAACAAAGATATGCCAATGCACAAAAAAGAGTTATTTCAGTTCCCAAAACATCTACTCTCCCCTAAAATATCTTGATTTAAAAATCATGCTCTCAAGAGACCAAAAATAAGTAGTCTGCTTTAAAATTACATAGCTGGTTAATTCACAAACTAAAGCATTCTGTTTCTACTGACTTCTGTAGAGCATATTGTTTCTAAAATGGAGTCTGAGATCTGAACAGTCCCAGATCTGATCACATGGTCTGCAGCCCCTCCCACAACACAGAGTTAAGGAAAACCGCATACCAACACACACATATACAATGCAGTAAGCAGTCTGAATTATATAAATAACAAATTACTAGTATAGGAGGCTTGAAGAAGGTTGCTATTTCCAACATAATTGTCATTAGTCTGGAAAAATCAAAGATAACATTGGATATTCTTACACTATGGAATAAATGCAGTTTGACACCAATGCATAGAAATATTTGGAGTTATAGTTTAACAAGTCTTTAGCTTTCTCTGCCAAAGACAGCTGGTACCTCACTGATGTACATCTCCCATGATCCCATCGCACTGAGTGATGACAATTAAAGTGGTGTTAATCTGCATTAGTTCTACAGTAGAGATTCACCTTATCCTGCCTAAAAACGAGGCAGTCAACATTAATCTGAACAGATTGTAATGAACATAATCAATTGTTGCTTAACTTTCCCACTCTTTAAACTTGGAATCATCACAAAGTATTATTTGACTGTGGTGATGGAATGCATCAGGCATCCAGCCTCCCAATTTGCCTGTCATCACTTGTGGACATTTATTTCTATAATCTTTTAAAGAAAGGTTTGAACAGACAGCTGACAACAGTCAAACCAATAAATCTAGAACTGGTTTAGTTGTAATCTAGAAAACCCCTAGCATAGTGTACATATGGTATAACTAACTAGTATTGTCAGGCATGTTTTGTGTAGAATCTAAATCCTGTTTGATTTTGTTCTCCTAGTAATGAGAAAATTACAAAGCTTTCTCAGCACCATAAGATTTTGGATGCATTTTAAAGATGATCTCTTCATATATGGGCATAAAGACAAAATTTAAAGTGGATGCTTCCAATGGCCTGTTAGCAGATGTGGCAAAGGAGAGCCAGAAGGAGGAATGCCCAAATTGACATAATGTAATCACACAATACACACATGGTGGCCAGAACCTGAAGTGGTCATCCATGTAATGCATCACTTTTAGGACAAAAAGACCATAGGAACAATTCTTTTTAAGACACAAAAAAGCCTCTTTTTTCTCTTTTTTTTTTTTTTTGAGAAAGCAATTGTCTTTTTCTGTCTATAGTCTTAGCTTTACATGGAGAATTGAGACTTAGCAGTCAATTAATGGTTGCAAATGATCTTCTCCATCCTCCTTTCTCTGTGAGGGATAACCAAACAAAAATGCTATGTATATAAAATCTATATTGTGGCCACTTTTCTAGTATTCCATCTTACTTATGGACACCTCATTATAAAAAGATACTGCTAAACTGTAAAAAATGCACTCAGAATCAATCAGTTAATTTCCTCATGAGGAAAGACTAGAAAACCAAGTCCTTTTAGTTCAGAGGGGTGGAGGAGGATGGGTAAAAGTAGGTTTATGTATGGTATTCATAAAGCAGATACTGTGAAAATGTTCTCCCTCTTTTATAATATTGAAACATTGTAGTTACACAACAAAAAAGGGTCAAGACAGATGGAAATGAATGGCTTGTCTACTCAAGCAAAAGTTCAGAGGCTCATAGCAAATGAAAGGCTATCAGTTGTCATGACACACAGCTACTTCCAAGGAGTATCCTGGGGTTTTTGGTTTTAAATCAGGGGACAATCTGGAGTTTGGTGTAAACTCCAGAATATCCTGCTGCTTTGGGCCAGTCTAGACAACTAGATTTGGTTCAGTTTGGTACTATCACTGTCCACATGGTGCCATCACCCTTTCCGTGTACTCATCAACATAGAGAAAGGGGATGGATCATAGTCAGATTGCTGCAACTACTGGCCCTAGTTGGCCACAGAGCTTCATGCATGCTCCTAGCTATCATGGGTGCCTTTGCTGTCATTGGAATGAGATGACCGCATGACTAGCATGAAGAAGGGTGGTGATCCCCCTTTTTCCTGATCATGCGGGCACCATGTTCTAACATTGGCAGAGGTAGATAAATTAAATAAATAAACTTTACTTGTATCCCACCCTATCTCCCCAATGAGGACTCAGGGCAACCAACAACAGAGATGCCCATGTGACCAGGAAGAAGGTGGGGAAATTGGCAGAGAGCAAAGCCCAACTGAGGGAGTCACTGCATAAAGAAACCAAAGCACCAAGACAGGCATATTGAGTTGGACAAAGTTTCTATCAAGAAATATTTTCCAGCTTTAGAAAATTCAAAAATATGTATTCAGCAAAAATTCCTGACTCATATGTGTGAACCATAGAAACCCCAAAGAAGAATTCTAAGTACCATTTCAAACTCCAAATCCTGGGGTTTTCTACAGCAGAGCCATGGCGGATAAAGTAGCATTAAACTACCATACCTTAAGTTTATGTATGATACATGTAATAGCAAATGGTAGCCTTAATAACAAAGTGTAATATCTAGATTCCATACTGCCTTTGAACTTTGAATTTTAAGAAGAAACCATGCTCAACTCCTTTATCAGATTGCTGACGGCTTTTATGGATGGTTTCATATATTCTATTGTTTTTAGTTGTCTAGTTGCATCATCATCATTATTATTATTATTATTATCTTTATTGTACTGTATAGAATTGTTTGGGAATAATAGCTAGAAAGTGGGAAGTATGTATACATGTCTAAGTACATAAAATCATACAGGTGAATGATTAATAACCATCTTACTGTATTTTCACCTGCTATTTCTTGTGGCAAAGTATTTCAAATTTAACCTGGCAAGTTATAACTAAAATCAACTTATGCATTTGCAAAAGAGAGACTGTTTTTGTTTGTTTGTTTTACCTTTGACCTATAGCTGACTGACTAAACCCAGATCTGGAATGAAATGTTTGTTACAGTTACAACAGTTTGATTAAACTGACTGAAAGAGATTTTTCTGGCCTGGAGAAACTGGAGTTGTTGCTGTTGCACAGTAATCAAATACATACTGTTCAAGACAGAACATTCTCTGATTTGCATTTGTTGCAGGTAAGGATGAGCTTTATCCACCATTGTTGTGTCAAAGTTTATCAAATTTTTGCTTTCAGTCCTTTTTCATTTTATACCAAAAAAATGCTCTTGAGGGGGTGGGTCTTTGCTTTTTACGTTCCAAGTTGTTCTCATTTACTGAGTAACAAAATTAGAACAAAACTGGTAAACATTATGAGGAATCTTCTGACATCAAGACTTATGTTGTCAGCTACACCAACTATCTCAAAGGGGGATGAGGCCTCTTTATTTGGGATCGCAAACAGAAACTGAATGGACATCAATCTTAGCTATAGATTCTGCTTTGGCAAGAGTTTGCACTGGGTAGTCCATCTCAATCCCTGCAATTCTGTTATTCTTTAAAAGTACAGTAGACAGTGAACACAGTAGCACTTGCTTTTGAGTAAGCATATGTGGAATTGTGTTGTTCATCTAAAATTTGAAGATGATCCATGAAAATCATGCAAACTCTTTCTTGATCCTCTTTCAGTTCATTATTTTCCCATTTCTATCAACAGATCTTAAAGATGAGCTATAACAAAGTCAAAGTTGTTCACGCAGACACATTTCATGGTCTCACAAGTCTGGTACGGTTGCATATGGATCATAATCAGATTGAATTTATAAACCCCAGAGCATTCTATGGTCTTACATTGCTGAAGCTGGTCCACTTAGAAGGAAATGTGCTTAAACAACTTCATCCAGATACTTTTGTCACTTTGTCATACCTCCAAATGTTCAAGACATCAGCCATAAAACAAATCAACTTGTCTGACAACTTACTTACTTCTCTGCCACAAGACATTTTCACATATATGTCTGAGCTGGAAAGTCTCTACCTTCATGGAAACCCTTGGATTTGTGACTGTGCAATGAAATGGTTTCTCAAGTGGACAGAACAGAACCCAGGTATTCAATATCCTATATTCACCTTTTATTTATTTGGAAAAAAATTTACCCTCTTTTTTATTTATTTATTGAAAACCTTTTGCCTTCATGTTCACCTGATAAGGATTCCAGTGAAGCATGCATAAAATAATAAAGACCATAAAACTAAATGTTTCCCCTGACATTAAGTCTAGTCGTGCCTGACTGGGGGGTGGTGCTCATCTCCATTTCTAAGCCAAAGAGCCGACGTTGTCCATAGACACCTCCAAGATCATCTGCCCAGCATGACTGCATGGAGTGCCAATAACTTCCTATTGATCTACTCACATTTGCATGTTTTTGAATGCTAGAGTGGCAGAAGCTGGGCCTAACAGTGGGAGCTCACCCTGCTCCTCATATTCGAATCGACAACCTTTTGGTCAGCAAGTTCAGCATCTCAGCGGTTTAACCTGCTGCTCCACCAAGGGTTCCAATAAAAACCATAACAAATAATTAAAACAGTTTCTTTTAAAGATGTGTGCTCTTCAAATAATTTGCCCAAAGTAGTTATGAAATATTTGCTTCTGGCAGCTGCTAATTCTATAACTCTCTTTGCTCCCAGAGCAATTGATCCTTGTTGTTGAGTGCCATCAAGTCATTTCTCACTAATGGTGACCCTAAGGCAAGCTTACTATAGGGCTTTCTTTGCAAGGTTTGTTTAGAGCCTTTGATGCCTCTGTAGCTGAGAGAATGTGAGTTGCTCAAAATAACTCATGACTTTCCAATGGCCAAGGGAAGATTCCAGCCCTGGTGACCAGAATCGTAGTCGAATGCTCCAAACATTGCAACAAAAACAGCTACTGTAAATTTGTCACAACAACTCTGTTGCTTTTTTTTATTATTTCTTCTTAAATGTAACATGCTGGAATACTTTTGTTTGCTTATTTATAAATAAATGAATCGCAGCATAGCAGTTTTTGTGAGAGTTCTGAGGCCAAAAAGTGGTACTAGCATATCTTGGTTGGCAGTGGGTTTAGCTTCATTTGACAGGCATCCTGGAATTCTAATATTTTCAAAAGATGCAAGAAGTGCAAATTAAATCTTGTTGCTAATGTAACCACTGTGCTGATCATACTACCACTTATCACTCCTTTGGAATTCTGGTAGACTTAGAGACTCTATCACAACTCAGTGAATTTTTTCAGAATATTGGTGTGCAAGGATTAAACAAATCAGGTGAAAACAGGAATTTGCTTTAAAGGTTAGATGATTTGACCATACTTATGACAGCCATGAAGTATTTTGCTCAGTATGTTATATTGTGCCTGTGTGCATAATTGATCCAGATCCATCAAGTCAGGTAGGAGCCATCCTGGAACATACATACATACATACATACATACATACATACATACATACTTGTATTTTCTTTAACGAGAGAGAGAGAGAGAGAGATTATGTATAGATAAGAATGTATTGGGTTCATAATTGTGAGTAGCATTGTGTCAAAAATGGGTTGAGCCATGATTTTATGAAGATTGCTCTCAAAAGATCTGGAGCATCTACAGACCTTGCTTAAAATTACCACATGCTATTAGTCTTTGTTCATCTCTTATTTATATTTTTCCATGGTAATAAAAGAAAAATGCAACCACTCCATTCTCTTCACTGATATATGCCAAGAAGCTTGTGTTACATATTTCACATTATGGAGATGCCAAAAACTAAAAGAAATGAATTAGTGAGATCCTTTCCAAATCAAAGTACTCCTGGCAAATTTCCTTCCAAACATATGCATTTGCAACTGTTTCAAGATCTTGAGATAGATAGCAAATACATACATCACAAAACTGAGCAAAATCCTGTATTAGACCCACCTAAAGCAGGAACCATGAAATAAAGAGTGTTTGAAGTAATTGTAACTAACAACTTCTATTTGTTTCCATAATTTTACTAGGACTAACAATTAATTTAGTCCATTGTTCACAGAGATTTCAAATTATGTTATGTTTTCTAGAATAAATATACCTCCACACCTCCTGGGGCCCATTCACATTATAAAATTTTAGTGCTACATTTCACTTTACCTGCCATAGAAATATGGCATACCTTGGTACTTTGGAATTTGCAGTATTGGGGAGGGGATTTGGATTGCTCAGCCAGTGTTGCACAAAACAACAAACCCAGACCTGTGCAGGATATAACCATAGTGGTTATAGTGGAACAATAGTGCTATCAGTATATAGTGTGAATAGACATCATTCAACAGCTCACACAAAGTGGAAAAATTCTCTGAATTTTTCCACCTTTGTGTGAGCTGTTGAATGATTTCTAGGAAGAGGGATGCACATTGTGAACATGCAAAATATGTAGGAAGATCCTTGAGCTTTAGGTTTCTGCTGACTGCAATAGTCATCAAAGTTATTTTTTACTGAATTTAGCTTTGTTGACTGGAATTGTTCAAAACCTCTGTAGCATCAGACTTTGACTAATGTCAAAGAAAAAAGGATTTACTGTCTTCAGATACTGTTTTGTTGTGAAAGGAGGCAATGAATCAACATATATGTTTATTGTTATAGGTTAATATATTTTAGATTGTTCTGAAGACAGCAGGGTGTTGTATAAAGGAGACCAAAATGGTCATTTATCATGAAATAGACCCAAACATAGAAATATATTCAGCATACAATTTCAGTGATGATATATTCATTCAGATCCTTTTATGTGTGAATATAATGATATATTCACATTTATGTTCAGTAAATTTACAAACTGGGGCCATGAACACAGGCCTCATCAGAGCAAGACCATGGGGATCCAGTATAACACAGGATAGGTTTCAGTATAAACATTTGATAAGAGGTAATGCTGCTACCCCTAGATTCTGTTCTGTGATCTTCCTTCTGTCTAATGTTTTGTATCTAGGAACATCTTAGGCTGGTGCCAAATCCTAAGCTGTATTCCAAGTATGACCAAAGTGTGGTTGCTCCAAAAAAAAACCCTATCTTTTCAACTTCATATCCCCAGCAAGCTCGTCTTGCTTTGTTGGTAGTGGTATTGTAGCCTCTTTGGGAGAGACAGACATTCTGTGTAGTTCCTTAAGACTCCTTGGAAGGAAAATTGGTCCCAGACCTACTGAAAATGCCCATCACTATCAAAATGCCCATCACTATCTCAGATTCTTGTCCATTACAATTACATTCTGGAACCATGACAAATGGTCAAAATACTGTGCTAGTTCTCAAACAGTTTTGAATGATTTACCAAGGTCTGTCTTATTGCATAGATAAAAGAAACATCAGCAGAATTGGAACTTTTGCTTTCATACTAGGATTTTTTTTTAAAAAAATTAATGTTTCTCTTTCTCTTGATTCTCTCTAGATGTTGTAAAGTGTAAAAAAGACAGAGGACCTTCCAGTGTTCTTCAGTGTCCATTGTGTGCCAACCCAAGGACTTCTAAAAGCAAGAGGGTAGCTGAGATGTCCCTCTCAGATTTTAATTGCATAAAACCAACTATAGATGCAAACTTGAAAACAAGGAACATCACCATACCAGATAATGAGGACTTTATTTCAATTTACCCCAAAGATTTTATGGCTCCTATAGGATCTGTATTATTAAACATGACAGACCAAGCACATAATCGGGCAAACTTGGCTTGCAATGTACAAAATCCTTCAAAAATGTTCCCTGTTACAGTTCAAAAAATGGACAACATCACAATACTTAAAACATCATTGTCAACATTTCTTGTGTGCAGCATTGACTATGAGAGTATTCGTCAACTGTGGAGCATACTGGCTCTATACAGCAATTCTCCACTGAAACTAAAAAGGGAACAGTTACTCACAGAAGCACCATATCTCAGTTACAAATACAAACAAATGGGCTCTGAAAATGAAGAACTTTTTACTGACATAGATGCTCAATTGAAAACTGAGCCTCCTTGGTTGATGCAAGGACAAGTATTTCTGCAGTTGGATAGAACAGCAACCACACTTAACACTCTACATATCAAATACTTAATGGATGTTCAGATCACCCTCCCAGTTGCTGATCCCAAATCAGCAAGACAGAACTGGGCTATGATATTGCACAAAAACAGCACCAGAACCGAGTACTCTGTTTTGGTAGGTGGATCTGTGGAATTGGACTGCCAGGCAACTGGAGAGCCTATCCCTGTAATTGAGTGGGTATTAGCTGATGGGAATAAGATTAGAGCTCCGTATGTTAGTGAAGATGAGAGGATGACAATAACAAAATCCGGAAGCCTCCTGTTACATGCAGCAGATAGTTTTGACACTGGAGTTTATCACTGTATAGGTACCAATTATAAAGATGCCGATATCCTGACCTTTAGGATTACTGTCATAGACCCTTCTATGGAACATAACAATTTAAATGGACCTCAGCTCTCAGTGCTTTTAGGTGAAGCGGTCTATCTTCCATGCCAGTCTATAGCTACTCCAGATGCCTCTGTTAACTGGATCATACCCGAGCATGTTATTCTTCACCGTTCTTCAAAAAACAAGCTTCTTTTTCAAAATGGCACATTAAAAATTCAACAATCAACTGACCGGGATGGAGGTTATTTCAGGTGTGTAGCAGCCAATCAATATGGTGTTGACATTTTGGTTTACCAAGTATTAGTGAAGAGGCATGTAAAGATATCACAAGAACTAGATATTCAAGTAAATGAGGCAACAGAAGGATCCGGTGATGAACAACTTGAAGCTATTCTGAAACCTCAAATTCTTTTGTCTACCATGAAGACAGAAGTAACACATCAAGCATCTACCAAAGGATCATCAGTAAAAGATCCTGTTTTTAACAAAACCAAAAATAATTATAAAGCAATTTCCAGAAACAATAGAGACAAAATAAGCAAAAGGTTTAGAGGACGCAAGAGACAATTTGCTTCCCCCAGCAGGAGAATTGATCCATTGCACTGGGCTGCATTTCTGGAAAAAACAAAGAGGAATATCACATTGCCAACGGCACAACAACATGCCACATTAAAACCAACAGTAAAAAGCTTTCTGTCTTCAAAGATCTCTGGAAATGAAGAGGAGACATCTGGAGATGATATATTTCCAGAAGAAGAATTTATACTACTAACAACTAAAAGTCCTTCAATATACACTCTGAGAGAAGCATCAGGAAATGTTGCAACCGCAAAACTTGGAAGTGCGTTAGGTAATTACAGTTCTCTGACAACATCTGGCATAGTTACAGAAACAGCAATTCCAATAACTAGTCCACTGGTTATGTTTCCTGAGGAACCCAACAGTCAGAGGTTATATATGGAAGTTAAACATAAAACTGAAAGAGAGTCTTTTAAAGAATATCTCACACTATATACACCACCTACATATATAGAATCATCAACAACACCATCTTCTAAACTGCCAAATAGTACTGCAAATGCTTCAACAACTTTTCATAAACTGATACCACCTGAAGAAAATAATTTGCATTTTAAAGTGATGCCAATAATCACGCCTGCAACAGTTAGTGAGAAAAGGCAGTCTGTGACTTCTGAAAAAGATACTCTAAAAACTAATCTGTTTCCAGAATCAACTGTGGAAACACCAAGGAAATCATATAATCAAGTTTCTGTAGTGACAGTCAGTGCACATGATGATGTGTTCAGAAACACATACCTATACAGTACTTTAAAAACAACAACACCTAAGCCACGGACAGTCTCAACCGTTATCATGGATCAACAGATTCATATAGCTAGGGATACTACAACTCATGCCCCCCTCTCCAGACGGTATGGCAGACGTAGAAAAATAACTGGTAGAAAACGAATTGTTAGACCTGATCGTATTCTGAATACTTCAGGCCAGATATTTGCTTTTATTAGACCCAGAAAGCAAGAAAGCACAAGCCTGCTGTCCCCTATAGCAGTGAGTACATCTACTTTATCCTCTCCCTACACATTTCTTGAACCAATTACCTCTCATACACCCATTTCCACTTCGTTCAGAAGTCAGCATGCAGACTCAACAACTGCAAATCAAATCTTGGCACTCTCAAGAAACAAGCTAGGTACAGGTGAAAAGTATACAACTTTCAAAACAATCCCATTCCATACTGAAAACAACCAAGTGGTATCACATACAGAAGTAGAATCTATTACACCACTACAAACAACTATTGACAGGAACCCATCATTTATCACCAGTCTTCCAACACAGACAATTCAAAGCCCTATAAATGGCAAGGCAACCACATCTACCAAAACTAGCATATCTGCTTCAACTATTAAATCTACCAGTCCCGCTCTTGAAACTAACATGTCCTCCAGTGTTTCAGCCTGGGAAAATCCTTGGCACAATGTCTTTGGAAGCAGCCATATTCAAAGGGAGCAGCCTAGTTTACAAACAGTGTCTTCTCATACTTTAAAAATTGGTGGAGAATCTCTGGCTGTGGTATCTCCTATGCCTCTTCAAATGACTGTACCAGTAGATATTACTTCAGCTGTAAATAGAGCTGATTTTTTAAAGAGAGAGAACCAAACTGATGATTTCATGAACTTACTTGAGTCCATAAGTGACAATATGCATGGCCCCACACTATCACTAAGGATAATCGAACTCCTATCTTCGACCCACAGACCCAGTCTTACAACTGTTCTTCAAAAAGAAAGTAATACAACTAGCATGGGACCAATTACTACTCCAGTTACTGTTAATCATGGTGAAAATAAGATTTTCAGGTCCAGAGTGTTCAGACCTGGCAGAAGAAGAGGGCCAAGGAGGAGGAGGCCCCTAAAGAAGTTAATGCATTCTCAGGAGCATATAATTAGCACTCAAGGTGTTACTATGTTGGGAAAAATAATGCCTTCTACTACTTTGGAAATGTCTAGAAAAGTAACTGTGTCTGCTAGCACCAGACAAATGGAATTATCTTCAAAATTAACTAATATGGATGTGGTTACAGCTGGACTAGGGCCACCAACTCTTAGCACAGAACCTATATTTAAAGATAATATATTCACAACTGATAAGATATTAGCAAGGAATATGATCACAGAACATATTACCACTAAAGAAACACCAGTGGAACATATGTTTTCAGAAAACCCTATACCTCAGGTCTCATTGCCAATATCATTTTTAGACACAGTAAGCACAACCACAATGTTACCAGATACATCCTTGACAACATCAACAATGGGATTTAACAATCCAACACAGGCAACTACAGTAACAGTTAAGGAATCATACCAACATTTAGAAGAGCAACTAGCAAAAACAACTTTTCCTACTAAAACGGATATAAGTATCCAAACTCCTACTGGTTCAGTGTACCCCACCACACAAGAACCCAATCCACTAACATCTCAACCAGCTGTCGATTCAAGTGAAGCTATCACACAAACCACTACATCTTCCACATGGGGAACGTCATGGAATGAACCATCTTCTAAAACTGCAGATAGTAAACAACCCTTCATAATCAATATGTTGACCATATTGAAATCTCCACAGAGTTCTACCCAGTATAGTCCTTCAAGGAGGAAGAACAATCATGTCAAAAGTTGGACTGAGAAAACAGCATACCAGGATTCTTCTACCACTTCTTTAGTAGCCTTAAATTCATTCTACCAGATGAGAGTTGCAAAACCCAGGATAATTGGAGGAAAATTTGCAGCATTTACAGTTCTGGCTAATTCAGATGCCTTCATCCCTTGTGAAGCCAGTGGTAACCCTTCGCCTACAATACAGTGGATAAAAGTGTCATCGAGTAAGTTTCCTAAATTTCCAATGAACATTTTTCTGAATTATAAATATGAAATTAGAGTCCATGTGAGGTAATATTGGATGAGGATGGTTCAAGTCAAAATTACCATTAAATGTTAGATTCCCATCAAGCAAGTTTTTTCCTCTCAGCCTAATTTCTTTCCTGGGTTATTGTGAGATGAAATTGAGTGTGTGTCAGAAAGATTTAAATGTCACTTTGAGATTATTGAGAAAAAGGGTAGGTTATGAATGTTATTATTCCTATTATTATTGATAATAATAGTTGTGCATAAATCTTGTTATTTTTCATCATGCATAAAAGGAATAAATTAACTGAATTTAGTAACTAAGGTTAGTTTTAGTTCAGTGGGAGATATTTTAGTAAGATAGTACATTCAACAGGGAGTCTTATTGCAATAAAATAATGGATGTGTCAGAAATCAAAATAAAAATCAGTCACACTAAGAAAACAGTATGTCAGTAAGAACCATACTCAAGAGTTGCCTGGTCACATACGTCCTAGTTTTCTGTGAAACTTTGGAGGATGTATTGTCTACATTGTGAATTCCTACTTTAATTCAAATGTAGCTATGTGTTCAAAGTGTGAATTTTGTGAGAGAAGAATGCTTAGATACTAAAAGAAAAGATTTTAGATATGAATGTGAGCCTTTAATAAGTGACAATGTTGCAATATTTTCCAAAAGACCATTTAAAACAAAAACATGCCTAGATTCTACTTCTTAGGCATATGTAAATTTTGGATATTAGTTTGAAATATGAATTGAACTTTCACTTTCCGAGCAAAAGGGCTTTGAATCTAGGAATGTGCTATACCTCTGCTCGCTTACTGATATGTTTTAATTGGCTTCCTTAAGTAGACCATTTTATGTTTTTAATTTTACTAGCTTGAATTGATATTATTGCTTAGTGCCATTTTTTGGCAGAAAACAAATCTGATCAACAAATACAACTGAGATTTCTTTTAACATTTAAAAAGGTTTAATTGTTCATGTTCTAAGAGTAGCAAGTGCAAAAATATAATTTTGAAGTCTCTGATAATTGTTAAAAAAGGATTAATAGTTAGTCCTATTGTATCAATGGTATTTCCACAAGAGTTCACTATTTTATCTTTTTGCCATCTTGAGATCTCACATTACATTGAAGGATAAAAATACTTTAATAAGTTAAATAAAGAATTGTTAAGTTACTATTAAGCAATTGAATCAGCCTGTTGTAGTTGGAAGTGACAATTACCTTAAAACCTCAATGTTAACGGAAGGGAGGCTACACTAATCATCCAGACTGACAAATATTTCATATTCCTGGTTTGCAAATTGTTATTTTTTAAAGAAAAATACAAGGTTTTATTTGGCTATTTTTTTCTTCTTGTTGTTTAAACAGGTGTTAATTCACCAAAACACATACATGATGACAAACTTGAGATTCTTCCCAATGGTACTCTTTCCATCCAGAATGTCAACGTCCAAGATCGTGGACAATACCTGTGTGTCGCTGTCAATCCATATGGTTCTGATAAGCTTCTTGTTACATTGTCTGTGGTGACCTACCCGCCAAGGATCTTGGGGAGAAGATCAAAGATTATGACTGTTCATTCAGGCAAGCCGGTGACCATGAAGTGCACAGCCGAGGGTCGTCCCATTCCTACTATTTCCTGGATCCTTGCAAACAAAACCTATATTTCAGAGTCTTCTCTAGGAAATGAGGCAATCTCTTTTCAAACAGATGGCACATTGATAATTAAGAAAGTCAGCATTTATGACAGAGGGATTTATACATGCACTGCAAACAATCCTGCCGGTTCAGATACAATGACAATAAGATTGCAAGTAATTGCTGCACCACCCATTATACTGGAAGACAAGAAACAGTATGTGTTACAGAATATGGGGGAAAGCTTGTGGCTTCCTTGCACTGCCAAGGGAAACCCTCATCCAAGCATTCACTGGGTCATATTTGATGGAACTGAGGTGAGAAACCTGCAACATACTAATGAAAAACGTTTACTCTTTCCTAATGGAACACTTTACATCAGGAATATAGCTCCTTCCGACAGTGGGAATTACGAATGTATAGCCACCAGTTCAACTGGTTCAGAAAGAAGAGTCGTAAACCTCCAGGTAGAACATAGAGATACAGCACCTCAAATTGTAGTGGCCTCTCAAAGGTTGACTCAGTTGAATTTTGGGGACAGACTACTTCTGAACTGTTCGGCTACAGGAGAGCCAACACCTAAGATCATATGGAGACTACCTTCCAAAGCTGTTGTTGACCAGTGGCACAGGTAGGACTCTTGAAAGCTACATTTCTTGAACAACTGAAATTTAATGCATAAAAGTTTTTATGATGTGGATTAATAAAGTTCCCAGGACCAATTAGTTGTGCTGTCCTTGTAACATGAAATGATGAATTTCTGGCTGACCTACAGACTGAGGTCAGCCAGAATGAAGTTTGCTGAGCTGCTGACAAGGAACATGGGGAGCCAGGTTTTTCTGAGTTGGGTGGCTTTTCAATCTAATCAAATATTCTCAATCTAACAGGAGACTTCTCCCAGTACCAGTAGTTAATGATAGATAGATTGTACCTGAAATGATCTGCATGGAAAGCAGATTTTATCTCACTGAATTTCATCTGCTTGCCAACAGACAAGGGGACCTGGGGGAGTGTTAATGGCTGAGAAAGCAGACATGCAAAGGAATTAAAGGGATTTAAGATTAGAAAGACTGTAAAATAAGAATGGTCCAGAAGGTAAAGGGGGAAAGGTTTCAGGAGGAGTAAGAGAAGAATGAAAATTAGAAGAGAGAATGATTAAGGTGAGAAAAGAGGAAGTTAGAAACTAAAGTTAGAATCAGATATACACTGATATGTATGTATATTTTCACACATGCACACCAGCTTGTGCATTTAGAATTATTTCTAAACCCATTCCTCACCAATTATTTCATTGGTGTATTTTGGGCTAGGAATGGAAAGAATAATCATAATTATTCATATCCAAATCAAATACAGATTTCGTAACAATTAGGAACCCCCATAGGGAAGAATAAGAGACCAAAGAATTTTGCATAATTTTCTCCTCGTGTCCAAACATCCCAAAATATTGTGAACAGATTATTTGGCAATGAAAAACATGTAGATTTCGTGCACTTCAAATTGGCTTCCTGTACAGAAAATAGGTTTGGGGGGTGGGGTTGCATAAAAAGTCCACTGTTTTTGCTCCACAAGAAAAATATTACTCTGGAACATTTGAGTAGAGGGGGAATACTGTAGCTCAGAGCTTTCCAAACTGTGTGTCATGACATACTAGTGTGTTGCCTGTAATCCATAGGCATCACATGAAAAATGCTTCCCCCTCCCCCAGAGACAAATGAGCTGCTTGGAAGTCATGTGTTGACCACTCTTGGAGGAGGAGAAGGCAGAGGCACCAGCAGGAGCAACAATGGCAGTGGCAACTTAGGCAGTGCTTAGCCCAAGGCCACACCATCCTAATCCTCGTTGTCGTCTTCAGCTTTCTGCCTCAGCAAACAGTGGTCCCAGCCAAAGCTGGGGGGAAGGGTGAGAATGACAAGGAGGAAGATACTCTCAAAGGACATCTATTCCAACCCCTTCAGCCAGGCAGGAAGGTCCAAAGTCCCTACAATAGACAGCCAGTTCAGAAACATCCAAAGAAGGGCTCCACTGGACTCTCTGGCAGTCTATACTTGATTAGAGTTGAAAGAGACCTCCAAAGGGTGCCTTATTCCACCCCCCTTCAGGCAGGCAGGAAGATATAGGCAAAGCCCTCCCAATAGTTAGCCATTCAGCTTTAGTTCAAAAATAGAGATTTAATCACTGCAGAAGTGAAGTGTTGGTGATGTTCAAGTACAGGTACTTTTATAGCTTTTACAATAGGTACAATGTGTTCATTGAATTGCATTAATAACCACTAAAATCAATAAGTTTTGTTATTAAGAAAAGAAAATCTGTTGACAACGATGTTTGTGGTGAACCACATGGAGCAGCTATAGAGGAAACTTCTGAAGAATCACCTAGTGTAAAGGAAAATTTTCCAAACTCATTTCTACAGTAAAGGTTATATGAAACGCACACACACACACACACTAATATATATAGTATTAAAAACTTTAATAAGGGTTTGGTTTAACAATACTGTTCCATTATTCAGGTGGACTCCAAAAGGGGGCCTAGACAAAGAAGAATAGTCAATTTTATGGGGGAAGAGAGTTGAAAGAGGAAAACCATTTTCATTGGTTATTTTGACAACGGCAACATGAGTAGGGGAAGTAACAGGAAAACAGGGAAATGGTTTCACTCCTTCAGCCCCCTTTCACCCCGTAAAATGGATTATCCTTCTTTGTCCAGCACCCCTTTGTGGCCTCTGCCTGGATGATCGAACTGTTCCTATTTAACCTCTGGTTTGTAGCAAAACTGAATTACCATGTCACAAAAGGATGCATGTCTAAAAAGTATATCACCAACATGATAAGTTTTGAAAGCTTTGCTGTAGACGAATATTCATTTATTTTCATGTTGTGGGGAAAAACCTACCCTGAATTATTTGTCTTCATATACAAGAACAAAATAGCCAAGGGTTTAAATATCCACATGACTTTATTGTAAGGCATGGCAGTAATTAATTCATAACAGGGCAGTGATGCCACTTCTAGCCTGAGTGAAATTCATGAAGTACTTAAGAGCTCTAACAGTAACAAATTTTGTAATCTCTAGAATGATCTAGCTAAACCTCAGAAATCACAGATAATTATAAACTTCTAAATCCAGAACCACATGTTTGCCAGCTCTTTGGAAGATATTTGAACAGAAGGAGCCAAAGAATTATGTATTTCAGCTTTCATGTTCTCATCTATACCAGGTCATTTCAAACTAGCTTCCAGTTCCCTCATACCTCTGGCAAGGCAAATTTTCCACTGAACATTTCCTAAAATGTATTTTCTACAGCCGTGTAGGCGTATGGATTCTACATGCCTCATTTGTTTCAACAAAGCCCTTTTGTTAAACAAATGAGAATATTTGATCAGAGCCCAAGAACACTGTAAAATGCAATAAAGTGTCTCTTTGAAATATATCCACAATTTTTTTTTTAAAAAAAATCTAAGATTGTGTTTGTTACCTTTTTTCCATCTGCACCATATTCAGAGTCTCCAGGTGGCTTCTGTTCCAATCGCTGATTATGCTCTATTATACTATTCTTGGAGGTTTGTTCTCAGAAGGTGTTGCTGGGGACACCTGCTCAACCCCGCGACCTTGCTCTGTGGGGTCCCACGGGGCTCAGTATTGTCCCCCATGTTGTTTAACATCTACATAAAGCCACTGGGAGAGATCATCCAGAATGTTGTTCGATGTCAACTATATGGAGATGATGTACAATTCTATCACTCCTTTCCACCTGCTACTAAGGAAGCTGTTCAGGTCCTGAACTGGTGCTTGGCAGCTGTGACAGTCTGGATGAGGGCAAACAAATTGAAATTGAATCCAGACAAAACAGAGGTACTCCTGGTCAGTTGAAAGGCCGAACAGGGTATGCTGTTACAGCCTGTGCTGGATAGAGTTACATTTCCTCTGAAGACACAGGTTCGCAGCTTGGAAGTTCTCCTGGATTCATCACTGAAACAGGAACCCCAGATCTCAGCGCTGGCCAGGGGAGATTTTGCACAATTAAAACTTATACGCCAGTTGCCCCCATAGCTTGGGAAGTCAGATTTAGCCACAGTAGTCCACACTCTTGCTACATCAAGAATAGACTACTGCAACATGTTCTACATTGGGCTGCCCTTGAAGACTGTTCGGAAGCTTCAAATAGTCCAACGGGTGGCAGCCAGATTGCTCACTAGAGCAGCCTACAGGGAGCAAACATCCCCTTGTTATGTCAGATCCACTGGCTGCCCATCTGCTTCTGAGCACAATTCAAAATGCTGGCTTTAGCTTGTAAATCTCTAAAAGGTCTGGCCCAGCCTACCGGTCAAAACATATCTCCCTCTATGATCCACCTCGGAGGCTAAGAACTCTTGGGACCAAACCTTTGACCAGTAAATTTGAACAGTGCAATAAAAAACTAAGAAATATGACAATGATAAATGGAATGGCTCTAGAATATGACCTGGATTACATGATTTCAACTGAGGTTTTAATATTAATGTTTTTAATATTAATGTTTCCAGACTGTCACAGCTGCCAAGCACCAGTTCAGGACCTGAACAGCTTCCTTAGTAGCAGGTGGAAAGGAGTGATAGAATTGTACATTAATGAAGTTTTGCTCTAGCTGAAATTGGATTGCAACTCTGATGGAACCTGAGAAGTAATAGTTAATTAATAAATAAAGTTAATAAAGTTAATAAATAAATAAATAAATAATAATAAATTAATACAAGTGTTGTTTTTTTTTTTGTTTGGTGGGAAAATATGGAGGGGGGAGTGCAAACAAACAAAAACTTGCAACATTTCTCAGGAGGAAAACTGATTCCAAAGCTGCCATCCAGTTTTGCTTGAAGGGGCTTACCAACACATTAGGAAGCTTCTGCTCGATAAAATACATTTTGAATTTTGAAAGAAAGTGTAGGAGATAACATGCAAGGGGTTCTGCTAAGTGATTGTGTTGGGTAAAACTAGCTCACTGGCTATAATTGAGCGAGTCAGCTTGTCCAGCCAAATGCTGACAAGATGGGCAACAAATCAAGATCTGAGTAAGAGTTCCCTGAAGTTCATTAACAATTTGTAAATGTTATGCATAACTATATCCACTGGAAAGATCACTTTTCTAATTTGGAGGTGCTTGAAATGTAAGCTTTCTTTAGATAAGAGATGGAGTCGAGGCTTCATTTTCTTTGGAATAAGTATTGTCTAGACAAGTAGTGTTAAGTCTAATTTCATTATTATAAGCCTAATACATAATGACACCAGGTGAGATGGGCAAAGGATATGATTTCTTTCTGGAGTCACCTGGGATTCAGAATATGGCAGAGGGAGGATAAATTGAGAAAGGATCATTTCAAACAAAATCCACTGTTCCCATAGTTTCTTCATTTAGTATCTAGATTTTATATGGTAACAGAATGATTAAAGAGCACCGCATGTATGTTACTTTCTACACCACTGTGATGATAATCTTCTGTTTCCACTTGATATATTTGTATATTACCTGTTATTTAGAACTTAGGCCAACACCTGAGGATCAGAAACATGGTAGTCCGAATACTGTCATAATCTGATGCAAGAGTAAAATCAATAATTCTATTTTTTTACTTTTTTGCTTCTATTTCTAGAATGGGGAGCCGAATCCACGTGTTTCCCAATGGATCCTTGGCTGTAAAGGCAGTTACAGAGAAAGATGAAGGTGACTATATATGTGTTGCAAGAAACAAAATAGGAGATGACCTGATCCTTATGAAAGTAAGTGTGACAATGAAACCTGCAAAAATAGATCAAAAACACTATTTTAAGAAACTGGTGCCTTATGGAAAAGACTTCAAAGTGGATTGCAAAGCGTCTGGGTCACCTGAACCAGAGATATCATGGAGTTTGCCAGATGGCACAATGATCAACAATGTGATGCAAGCAGATGATAGTGGGCACAGGACTCGGAGATATATTCTGTTTGACAATGGCACTTTGTATTTCAACAAAGTTGGAGTGGCTGAAGAGGGAGACTACACATGTTATGCTCAAAACACACTTGGAAAAGATGAAATGAAAGTGCACTTAACAGTAGTAGCTGCTGCACCTCGTATCAAGCAAATTTCCAAGACTTATGCAAAGGTAAAAGCAGGTGATAATGCAATCTTTGATTGTGATGCCATGGGGGAACCTAAACCAAAAATATTTTGGTTGTTGCCTTCCAATGATATGATCTCTACTTCAACTCAAAGGTATTTTCTTCATGTTAACGGATCATTGTCAGTCATTAAGGTGAGGCTCATTGATGCAGGAGAATACATTTGTGTGGCACGCAACTCTGGTGGAGATGACACAAAGCTTTACAAACTAGATGTTGTTTCTAAACCACCTCTCATCAACGGTTTGTATACAAACAAGACAGTCATTAAAATGACAGCCATAAAGCACTCAAAGAAGCAAATAGACTGCAGAGCTGAAGGAACACCAGTACCCCAAATCATGTGGATAATGCCCGATAATATCTTCCTAACAGCCCCATACTATGGGAGTCGAATAACAGTACACAAAAATGGGACTCTTGAAATCCGTAATGTAAGGTCTTCAGATTCAGCAGAATTTATATGTGTAGCACGTAATGATGGAGGAGAAAGCATCCTGGTAGTTCAGCTGGAGGTATTAGAGATGCTGAGGCGCCCTATGTTTAGAAACCCATTTAATGAGAAAGTCATGGTAAAGCCTGGAAAAACAATCTACTTGAATTGCTCTGTCGATGGAAATCCACCTCCTGAGATAATCTGGATGCTACCAAATGGCACACGACTCTCTGCAGGTTTTAGAACACTCCACTATTTCTTGGGAAACAATGGCACTCTTGTTATCAATAGCCCTTCTAAAACAGATGCGGGCAAGTATCGATGTGCGGCTAAGAATAAAGTTGGCTATATTGAAAAGTTGATTCTTTTGGAAATAGGTCAAAAACCCACAATTTTCATCCACTCAAGAGGAACAATCAAAAGCCCTAGTGGGGAATCATTATCACTTCATTGTCTTGCTGGTGGAAGCCCCAAACCAAGTATTATCTGGACAGTTCCTAGTGGCTATGTCCTAGACCATCCTCAGATTAATGGAAAATATAAGTTACTGGAAAATGGTACTTTATTCATAAGAGAAGCCACCATTAATGACAGAGGAAGCTACACGTGCAAAGCTCAGAACTACATTGGTGATTCAACAGTAGCAGTTTTTGTGATTATTGTGGCACATCCGCCAAGGATTACAAATAGACCACCAAGGCATATTCACACTACAGCTGGAGTAGCAATTCAGCTTCACTGTATGGCATTAGGTGTACCAACTCCAGAAATTACATGGGAGCTGCCTGATCACTCATTGCTTTCCACAGGCAGCAAAGGCCAGCCATCTGGAAGTGAACTTATTCATCCACAAGGAACATTAATAATTCAGAATCCCAGATCAACACATTCTGGCATATATAAGTGTATGGCAAAAAACCAGCTTGGTACTGATTCTACCGTATCGTATGTTCAAATAATCTGAAATGAGAAAAATGCAGTTAAAATAACCGATAACAAAGTGGGATCTAGACCATGTTTGGCTTTCAAAGGTATTTAATCAAATCCAGTCAAAAGGCATGTCAATTTCATTACAATTACAATTCTTAATTTACAGAACACATGTTGAGAAACAGATAGCTGTGGGGAAATAAGCATGGTGACCTTGTATGAAATTTTATAATGATAATAATGATATTCAAACATAGCTTTAACAAATTAAGGCACTTAATTTTCCAATAAAAAACAGAGGATATCTACATGAATGAAAATATGTTTACTATGAAACTGAAAAAATGTAACATAACAATATTTTTTAAAAAAAACTTGTTTTTTTTTAATTTCCCATTTGGAAGTACTATAATCATGGTACACATTGTAAAATTCTACAAAGATATGTAAAAAAAGAACCGTGATAGCTGTTTTGTTACCTTACTGACATGTATGAATATTTTGTACTTTACTTCTTTCAAAACAAAAGGTGCTAATTTGTTTTAAATATCAATAATTTGTTTTGTTTGTGTGCAGCAGTCCTTTTTACAGGGATGTTGAAGAACAAGAGAAAATAGCTCAACTATAACAGTGGTTTTCAACCTGTGGGTCCCGAGGTATTTTGGCTTACAATTCCCAGAAATCCCAGCCAGTTTACCAGCTGTTAGTATTTCTGGAAGTTAAAGGCCAAAACATCTGGGGACTCACAGGCTGAGAACCACTGAACTGTAATGTTTTATTTTTCTGTTGAAGAGACCATGTTATTTTTTCTAAAATTAAAAATTCACAAAGTCTGCATCTGAAGAAACATAGATGTAAATAATGACCTTGCTGCCAAATATTCATTTGCTAAATATTTTACATTAAAATTATTAATATAATATGTTGAATTCTTTTTTAAAGTAAGTTACACATTACCAACAGCTGAGAAACAAACACTGGGAGGAAGCTGATCACTATTGGAATCAGAACAGACTAAATATACTGCTGGCCTGATCCAAATACTGCTTCCAAGCATCTGGAACAGCATGTCCAAGAAATGGATCCTAATACCTTGTCATAAACTGCTCTTAATTTATAATCCCAGAGCAACTCCAGAAGATGTGAACCACTTAAGGAGTCACCATGTGGCCCATGAACCTAATCCAGAAAGGGATTCAGCGGGGGAACAAGAGCAGAATGAATGTCAGGATTACAAGAGTTTGAATTGTTAGACCAGCCTAGGAAAAGCAATTAATCACATATTTGACAGATATACAATATAAGTTTTGAATGTTAAGAATTTGTCCTGGTAGAGTAGTAAATAAGAAAGTCACCAACATCTGCTTAGAACAACTGACATACCAAGCTGTACTGTCAACTCTTAATCTTTTTGTCCCGCACGTTCCACAAGAAGGTTATTTGAAGAAGAGTATCATATACCTTTGTTTCAGCTGTTCCAGGTCAGATGTGCATGGCAGAGTTCATTTTTCAACTTTAGTACTGCTCCTCTGCTAGGAGGAACTGAGGAACTATTACTGTGCATGTCACTATTTTTCCCTCCAGGTATGTAAATTAACAACTATTTGTCTTTGCCCAGTATGCAGTTGGAAACCTCTATTCATTTTAATTATGCCTGATTCTGGGTGAAAATCAGTTTTAAAAGCATTTTGCTCCAAAGCTGAAAATGGTTGATTATTATGAGCACAAACTTCAGGCTAATATTCTGCCTCATCTCCTCCTTCACATGAGAAAGTATTAGAAGTTTCCACTTTTGAAAAAGATATAGTTTTCTCTTATGTATGAATTTAAATAAACTAGTTTATTCAAACAGAAATCAGATACATGATTCAGCATCAAGCAGTGGCAGCTGTGGATGTTTTGCACCATTGATATTTGTATCTGCTCCACTTCTCAATTTGTAATTATATTCCCATGGAAGCGGTGGTTTTTTTTTTTTTGGTTTTTTTTGGGGGGGGGGTTGCTAAGATAGCTATGCCCACAACTGATCTTAACAAGGGAAGTAGGCACTTTCACCAAGACCAATCTCTGTAAATAGTCCAATTACCACGTAATCCAATTGTCAAGTGGAAGAGCTGTGGAAGAGCTAATTTTCATTACTGGGGACTGGTTTCCTGTTGAATTTGGTCTGAAGTGGGAAGGCATGCCTTCCACCTGGTCACACTGTTGAGACCAAAACTCAAAAAGTGGGATAGAAGACGTACTTCTGAACACCTATCCTTACTGAAAAGGTAAGTTTGTGAGCTGTGTTGAAAACCCAAGTGGTGGAAAATCACAAAATTAGCCTCTTACAGGAAGAATAAACTCTAAAAGCCTCATCACAGCCACTCTTGTTTTTTGTTTACATTATTTTCTGTATCTATGAATTGTAAGCTGCAAAGAGAGAGGGGGCGGAGTATAATAATATTACATCCAAGTGGCTATGAGTTAGGTTTCTGCGTGTTCTTGGTATTGGTAGATCTCAAAAACAAAAAGTTGTATTATTACATAGTAACAAGCGACTGAATATGGGCAACTAGCAATGCAAATCACTGTGGAGATAGTAGTATTATTTATTTATTTATTATTTTATTTACAACATTTGTCTCCACTCATAACAGATTGAAGGCAACTCAGGGCCTTTGCAATCTCCCCCACATAAGGCAAACCACTGCAACCCCAGGTGTAACTCAAGCTCCAGTTGAACCAATCCTATATTTTAGTTGCACTACTCAACCCCTTTACCTATAGGATTTCTGTATAACTTCCAAACCTACAAAACCTCCTGAGTGGATGAACAAATAAAATCCAGTTAAAACATTATCAAAATAAAAACATTTTTTAAAAGAACATTTAAATACACTCTTTAAAGTACTAAAACAGTGATGGATCAATCCTTGACGATGCTAGTGACTGTCTTCCTCTCTTGTGTACAACTGCGATGGCATTTTTAACTCTTACATTCCATATCATCTGGCATTTATTCCAAAGTGCCATTCAAACTAGGGATGGTTGTCGATTGTGAGACATGCAGATTTAGCTGCTTGCTTTAAACGTCCCCTCTCAAGTAGCCGAGCTAAACCAGCCCCTGGTTCACCGAGGAGCTGGCAGCGATGAAGCGAAGGAAGAGGGAACTAGAGAGTGTGTGGCGTTCGGATCCGAGTGAGCCAAATCGAACACGGTTTGTGTCCTTTTTAAGGGCATATGCCGCGGCAATAAAAGCCGCAAAGAAGGCCTTCTTTGCGGCCACTATTGCGTCTGCAAAGAACCGTCCGGCTGAGCTGTTCCGAATTGTCAGAGGCCTTTTAAATCCCACCACTCAAGGTGGGAACCCTGACGATTCGACTTCTCGCTGTGAAGCTTTTGCTCAGTTCTTTACAGACAAAGTCGCTTTGATCCGTTCTGGTCTGGATACCATGTTAATGGCAGTCTCTGAGGATGTAACACGAGCACCTGCTTGTCCAGTTTTGATGGATTCATTTCAATTGGTGAAACCCGAGGATGTGGACAAGATACTTGGAGGAATGAGGCCAACCACATGCATCCTGGACCCCTGCCCATCCTGGCTTCTAAAGGAGGCCAGAGGGGGATTGGCTGAGTGGGTTAAGGTGGTGGTTAATGCTTCCCTTCGGGAAGGCAAGATTCCAGCGAGCTTAAAACAAGCTATAATAAAACCGCTGTTGAAGAAACCATCACTGGACCCCACTAAATTCGACAACTATCGGCCAGTTTCCAATCTCCCCTTCTTGGGCAAAGTCTTGGAACGTGTGGTGGCCTCACAACTCCAGGTATTCTTGGTAGACACGGATTATCTAGACCCGGCACAGTCTGGCTTTAGGCCGGGACATGGTACCGAGACAGCCTTGGTCGCCTTAGTGGATGATCTGCGCCGGGAGCTCGACAGGGGGAGTGTGTCCCTGTTGGTGCTGCTTGACCTCTCAGCGGCCTTCGATACCGTCGACCACGGTATCCTTCTGGGACGCCTCGCAGGGATGGGTCTTGGAGGTACTGTTTTGCAGTGGCTCCGGTCATTCCTGGAGGGTCGATCTCAGAAGGTGTTGGGGGACACCTGTTCAACCCCACAACCTTTGTCTTGTGGGGTTCCTCAGGGCTCAATATTGTCCCCCATGTTGTTTAACATCTACATGAAGCCGCTGGGGGAGATCATCCGGAGTTTCGGGGTGCGGTGTCATCTGTACGCAGATGATGTCCAACTCTGTCACTCCTTTCCACCTGCTACTAAGGAGGCTGTCCAGGTCCTGAACCGGTGCCTGGCCGCTGTGACAGTCTGGATGAGGGCGAACAAATTGAAATTGAATCCAGACAAGACAGAGGTACTCCTGGTCAGTCGCAAGGCCGAACAGGGCATAGGGTTACAGCCTGTGTTGGATGGGGCCGCACTCCCCCTGAAGACGCAGGTTCGCAGCTTGGGTGTGACCCTGGACTCATCGCTGAGCCTGGAACCCCAGGTTTCGGCGGTGACCAGGGGAGCATTTGCACAGTTAAAGCTTGTGCGCCAGCTGCGCCCGTACCTTGGGAAGTCTGACTTGGCCACGGTAGTCCACGCTCTGGTTACATCCCGTTTAGACTACTGCAACGCTCTCTACGTGGGGTTGCCTTTGAAGACAGCTCGGAAGCTCCAACTAGTCCCACGCTCGGCAGCCATGATTTTAACAGGAGCGGAGCGCAGGGAGCATACAACCCCCCTGTTGCGCCAACTCCACTGGCTACCGATCTGCTACCGGGCTGAATTCAAAGTGCTGGCGTTGGCCTTTAAAGCCCTAAACGGTTCCGGCCCAAGCTACCTATCTGACCGCATCTCTGCCTATGAACCCACCAGGAGTTTGAGATCTTCCGGGGAGGCCCTGCTCTCGATCCCGCCTGCTTCTCAAGCTCGGCTGGCGGGGACGAGAGATAGGGCCTTCTCGGTGGTGGCTCCTCGGCTGTGGAACGCCCTTCCTACGGACATTAGACTAGCACCATCTCTAATGGTATTCCGCAAAAAGGTGAAGACCTGGATGTTTGTGCAGGCGTTTGAGTAATTTAGTGCAAACTGGTAATGGAACATAGGAATGGAACAATGGACGACGAACCTGGACTACGCTTGGATGATGAGAAGATTGGGTACGGTTGTTTTTTGTAATAATTGTGCATTGTAATTGCTTATTGGTAATTTATGGATAATGTGTTAAGTCAATTGTTATATGTTGTATGGAACCACTGCTGTTTCTACTGTTTTTACTGTTTGTGAACCGCTGTGAGTCGCCTTCGGGCTTGAGATACAGCGGTATATAAGCAAAGTAAATAAATAATAAATAAATAAATAAATAAATCCTACACCATTCATCTCACACAGTGATATTAGGTAAATTCTATCCCTTAAAGCAATGGTTCTCAATTATTTATTTATTTATTTATTTATTTACTGCATTTGTTGACCGCCGCTCTCAGCCCTGGGGCGACTCGCGGCGGTGTACAACATATAAAAACAGTTTACAAAAAACTCAACTTGTGGGTTCCCAGGTGTTTTGGCCTACAACCCCCAAAAATACCAGCCAGTTTTCCAACTGTTAGGATTTCTGGGAGTTGAAGGCCAAGACATCTGGGAACCCTCAGGTTCAGAACCACTGCTTTAAAGTTATATAAGTAGACCAAGAAGATAACAACAAAATATTTCTGGCCATTAACACACAGCAACAATTTCTGGGCTGACCCCTCCAGGAAGAAAACGGAACCACTGTAAAAGAATGTCTCCAAGTCCAATCCAAACTAGATGGCCCAAAATGATATCATGATAAATGCTACTGAAAGTCATTAAGATATTCAACAAACCCAACACAGTTTTGTCCAACCTTATCTAGTTTCAACACTTACAAAGGCATAGTCATGTGGATGTGTAATAGGGCCTACTCAGTAGCTGTCAATTGGTTCTAGAAGTCCCTTTCTAGTAAAACCAGAATAGCTCACTGTTTGCTGTCTTGAACTGGGAAGTAAACACATTTTTTATTCCGATTGGCTTTTGAGAACTGAAGATAATAACGTCGTATATTTTGAATTGTTCGTAATGTCAGTAATTAAACTCTATTTTAATGTCAAACTTTTGTACCTTTTAACTTCTTTTATTCATTTTATTTTCCTCCTGGATTTTTGTTTTTGGTTTTGAAAAGGGATGAATATAAAATAAGGAGGAGAATTAAAATTAGAATAAATTTAGAAATGGGGGAGGGGAGGAGAAAGGGATGTTAGTAAAACTAGTATCAAATAGCACTGATTCCAGTAACATTTTTGTCAATACAGTATAACATAATGACCAAAACAGGTATTTAAATTAAATTAGTCAGGAAAGTAAAATTGTAAGAAGGTTGTGAAAACCTGCAAAACAATCTATTCAGACTTCAGAGAATGGTGACAAAATGGTAAAGAAGGTTGATACTAAAACCCAAATGGTAATGGGGCCACACCATCACAAGTTTGTGTATAGCTTGGTTGGGATATATCACCTAACCAGATATTAGGCAGACATTGCTAAACATGTGAAGGCTAGTCTGCTTTTGCTTTGACTGAACACAGTGAGTCTGCAAAGTCTAGAAAAGTCGACAATACAAAGTCTAGAAAGCTACATCAACAATTTTGAGGTGCCCATAACTTTAGAATATATGTGTGTGTGTGTGTTAACCATTTTTAAAGAAAACGGCCAGCATTGTTACAAAAATAGTGTGGTCTTCATAATTTAGGGAACAGTAATTGGAATATACGTTATAGACAAAAAGGGAATCAGAAATTTTCACAATGTATATACAATGGCTCACAACAATATTATCATAAAGATTCTGGTAT